TAAAGCATTTAAAGTCAGAATCTTTCTACTGGGAAGTCAGTCTTTCTCTGAGGTGTTGCTAAAATGCTGCCACAGGAGAGACACAAAGGCACTTAACTGTATCATAAACACATTTCTTCACCTAAGGATTCCTGGGGAGACACTAAATTATACAACTGCACCGGATTTTCCTGTTTTGGCCTCTAAAGATGTTTCAAGAAGCCTTCAAAAAGGTAATAGTGCGACATTTCTATCAGGAGTAATCATTGTGCAGTTCAGAACCTCCTTACTCACCACTGGAGAAGGGTTGGACCTTCTTTATTCATCCACTGCAAGACCTAGAACAGTACAGGCATTTTCAGGAAAGAAAACAATATTTCAGAGGAATAATAATGTTGTGCAACATCACTTACATATCTAGTTTCTTTAATAATGATCAGCACTTCAGACTGCAAAAAAGATTTGAAATAATCTACTGCCTTCTATCTAATCATGAAAATTATGAAAATAAAACAATTTAGTGTTAACGTACTAAAAATTTACTAATGTAATTTTGCTTATGCAATTAAAATCATACAGAAGAAAGATCCTAGAGAGAATTGTATGAGAATTAGATTTTCAAGAGAAAAATATAATACCTTGGATGAGCGATGAAGTAATCTGTTACTTAAATCACCTGACAACACAATTACTCTTCCAATCACTGCAAGAAGCAATCCCAAACTCTTTCGAGACAGAGCATTTGCAGCCGCTGTAGGAGCTGACTGACTATAGCTTTCTTTTTCACTTTCTCCACCTGCTGGCCATGCTGCAAAGCAGCACAGCACCTACACAAGAACATCTGACTTCAATGAATCACATGTAGGTACTTCCATAGGTTATTAATAAAGTCTTTCTGTACTATTTTTTACTGTTAGAAGTGAGATCAGAAACAATGCACTCAAACAACACCGAAAGAAAGGACAAAAGGTTGTTAAAGTTCTTCAAAAAGCAGAAAACGACACTCAGTGAAAGCATTTCGTATCTGCTTAGATTCCAAATACAAGAAAGAATAGCTGCTGGACTAAATTGGACAGAAAGGGTCAATGTTAATGTTCACAGCATTATCAGACACTGCTAATAGGTGATGTGATGCATACACTACTGGTATGAAGTCCCTGAAACAACCTCACAAAACATTTAATACAGCAGATGAAAAAAAAGAAAAAAAAAAAAAAAAAAAAAAAAAAAAAAGAGAAAGAAATTAAGAAGGAAAAGAAAGAAAGAAAGGACCACAATGATGAAACCCATACTGTTACACAGTAAAATAGAGATGATGATAGCAATACTTGTTCTGTGCTCCATGATGGATCAAAGGCCAGTGAAGGTAGCTGCAGAGTAAAATAATTTCTGGAGAAGTCATGCATCCAAAGAAAAATTAAAAAACAACAGAACAAACATGTTTTACTGCCAAAAACTAGGCAAATTGAAAACTCTTTATTGTCTCCATATTTTGTCCCTAAGAAGAAAAAAAAAAAAAATGATTTTCTCTTCCTATCTCAGTGCCATGTTTATTCATTGCATTCAAAAACACTTAGATGAAGCCTAGAATTTGAAGTAAAATGCTGTAATGTCACAGCTTTTACAGTATTATGCACACACTCCACACAGTATCAATTAGCAGTGAGGAGAGTTTATTGCTTTTACAGCAAAGCAGTCACCAAAGCATTCAAAATCCAGGGCAGGCTTTCTGGGAGAAGATTGCTTTGTTTTTGTACACAGTGCCTGGCTAGCTGTCAAACAACACGACTAACGGGCAGCTTGACAGACTGTACACGCAGCTTCAACAGCATGCACACCACCACGTAACATGGGTAGGGTTGAATTTGCTGAGTCCTTATGCAGTTTTGTAAGGAGCACAAGGTGGCTTGTTAGGAGGTTAATGCAGATGGATTCAGTGATCCCTGAATTATTAACATCCCTCTTTGCTGTTACAGAGATTTGCCATGACGCTCATGTTGCAAAAGAATTTGAAGTTATACTCACCTACTTAGAGTTGCTGAAAGCTGTTATAATGAAACGGGGCAGGGAAGAATGGAACTGGGTTGTGATTGCTAAGCAGATTTCATCTGGCAGAATTTTAGCAGCACTCCATTAGAAGCTACTTACAGCAGAAATTGTAGGAAGTAATTGAGCACTGTGAAGTATGTCTACCTGAAAAATATGAAGTTATACCAGGAAGGAACTACACAAACTCAGCAGGTCCAAATAAGAATCAGACAACAAGAATCACAATTCATAAAGCCTAATCATGAAACCATTGTTTCAGGAGAGGAAATACACCAAAACCCCAAAGGAAAATTTTAAGACGCTCCTCTCAGATGCAGCATGATACAACAGTCAGTAAAGGTGATCGTGAAAGGTATACCTTGTAATAAGATGAGGGCATTATATTCCAGGACAATATCCTAATAACTGCAATATTTATTTGAAAATACTCCTTCAGTCATACAAATTAACAGCAGTAACAAAACATAACCAAGCAGGTGTGCATGTCTGACTGCAGCTGATGCTAGATGTTTACTAGTGAACTCGTCCCAATATCTGATGCCGCTGGCACGTGGTCCTTGTTTCTTCAGATTTTATTCTTTGTTTCTGCTGATTTGAAATATTTGCCATTATGATGGCAAAGCTCATGATTGCTCAACTCTTGCTTATTTTATATTGCTAGATTAAGTTAGAATCCAGCTTACAAAAATCACATCCTCAAGATCACTGAAGCATTATCATTTAAAACTCTGAACCTGAATAAACAAGCCCCAAAACTTGGCATACTTTCAGGCCCATATTTGTTGTTAGACAAGCTGACAGACATCCTCTAAAGGCTTAAGGCTTTAATAATCTAAGCCTAATAATTGATAATAAAGCATACACAGTAATTTCATAAACAAACAATGTAAATGATACAAACACAGAAAAATTAACTGGCTTGAGATGTGCCAGAGAAGCCTTCTGAAGATGCATATAGATATTCCAAAAGGAAAAAGAATCTCTTTTAATTTGTTACATTTCAAATGGAAACCTAAAATTCAGTCCTTTACTGAGGTATAAGAGAGGAACCATTCAGATTTTTCTTATGCCGAATATTTATCTGTAGATTTTATGAAAACGTAACTCTTCCACACCTGCATTTATAACATTTCCAGCTACCAGCATTTCTATGATTGTAATCTGTCATCTAACTCTCCTGCCTACATGTGTTGTGACTATCAATAACAGCAACTGTTTTCCCTCTACAATGACAGGTTTCAAGTAAAGCCAAATTTATTAATGGGTAGTGATGGCAGTAAACTAGGCAGCAAAATGACTGCGTCAAATCAATGACTGAGACTTCAGGCTTAACCCCTTGTGTAAGTAGGTTTTTATTAAGGGTTTTTATCCACTACTGGCCTTCATTTATCGCCAAAGTTGAATATTATGTTAATGACTTCTAAGACTGTGGATCACAGAGAAAGCAACAAGATACAGTAATCATATAAAATACTTTTTTATGCTTTTAGCACTTACCTTCAGATTTATATTTAAATTTACATAAAGCTAACATTTCTATACAAAATAAGGAGAAAGAACATTCTATTACCAATTCTCCAAACAAATAAGGCTCTGTAATTACAGATTCGTTGGACAGCTGGCCACCTGCAGTGATGTCAAACTAAGAACAGCAATCAAGAATTTAGACAGATCTATATGTTGGTGAGTTTAGAATACAAAGACTATTCAAAGGAAATAATGTGCTATACTAATATATTAATATGCTAGTTAGCATAGCATTGCACAAACAAAATGCAGTTTTAAAAACACTAGAGTATTAGCATGTGTTGGCAACTTCAACTTCAGTCAGTCAGGTGTGTATTTCTTCTCCCTTTGTCGGAAACAAGGAAATAAAAACAATCCTTTTCAGCTTCTGAATCCCAACATAATGCAAATCCATCTGACAAAGTCTGCACAGATGAGTGAATTCTAATTCAGGAAATCACATTTTTAGTCAAACACATTGTACCACAGCAGGAATCATCAGGGAAGATGGCAATAACTGGAAAATAATTTAAAGTCTGTTTCTGGTTTTTACACGTGGAAATGAAATCTTTGCCTGGAGGAGTCACCAAACATACTAGTAAAGTAAGCATCTCCAGGAGCTCCTCTTACTCTGCAAGTAGCCAAACAAAAGCCAAGGCACAATATCACTCTATTACATTCAAGTAATATATACGTAACTCCATGTCTTTTCCTTAACTCATGCCCTTCTTAAGCAAACCATTTTTCAGAAATTGTTACAACAGTAACTACACATCACCTTACTATGCTGTCCCGCTCCTGAGAGCTGTACTTTTTCTCCTTCCCCTTATTCCAATGTAACTACATTCAAATACCCCTCAAAGTATAAAGTTTCCCTCTTTTAAAATGTTTATACCCTGTAATGTGTGTAACAAAGTAACAATTAGTGTTATAGTCAAGATGTCCTATACACCATTGCAGAGCCTTTCGGAAAGGCTCAAAAACTGCCCCTGTTAGAGGAAGGTAAAGGAGCAGTGCACACACAGCACAGTAGATAATGTAACACATGACCTACTGCAATTGTTAGGTTAGTTATCTTTTTCCAAGATCAGAAGAGAAATATAAAAGGAGAGGAGGGGAACACAACACTTCTGAGAGTTCTTTGCAATCTGCTATCTGAAAGGCAAGAAAGTAAACAAAGTGGCTTTGAAACTGTTCTGAAAACTTTTCCAGTTTCATCTTTCACTGCTCCTCTGCTTGGGCTTCAATTGTTTCCTTCTTTTTTCAGATTCCTTGTGTTCTTACAGAATTCTCAGATGCATTACCCACTCAACCTTAGATTTGTCCTGTAATCAGTTCCCAGTTCTAACCTTCACAATTTCTCAGAAAGCTTTTCATCAAATCAATAATCATTTTGAATCAGCATGAGAGAAAGAAGGAATGGTATGTTTTTTTTTAAAGAAAAACAAACAAAATCCAGAAGTATAGACATTTTACTATAATCTTTTCATATAAATGTTACAGAAACTAAAATATAGGAGAACTTGCAAACTAACTAGAAGAATAAAATAGATTGGAACAAGAAGAGAAACCTCCAAATTTTGCAGGTTCTCATGCACTAATCAGTCCCAAAGTCAGTCAAATACACTCCTGTACACAAGCTTCAACATAAGTGGCAGCATTTTATCATTGTATTTGTTTTTTCTTTTTAATAGTCTCAGACTGTCTTAGCTCCTCAGTCCCATGAGCATATGGACAAGATTCAGAAGGCAAAGAACAACCGTCAGGATGATGAATGAAAAACCAACAGAGACGTGTTTTAAATGCTTCAGCTGAAAGGCATCGTTTTACTTCAGGCTTAGTTTTCCTTGATGGCTTCTCTTTCCTCCAGTCACGAATATGAACTCTCCCATCTAGCACTAAGATTAAAAAACAAACACAAATTCAGCTGTTAATATACAGCCATGGGAATTGTACTGGAAAAAATTCATAGTGACAGTCAGCCAATAACATGTTTTCAACAAATGGATCACTCAGACAAAACTAAATGTACCATTTATATAGAAAAAGAAAGTAATACATAAGAAACTGAAGTAATAATCTAAAGAAAAATAATTTATTTCTCTGTGAGATGTTTTTACTATCATGCTGAGGCATCTTTTTAGCATCTTCATAGAGGGTGCTTATAGAGGTTGGGTTTTTGTTTACCAAAATCCGTTAAAATAATTTATACTAAAATGCTCAGAATCTAGACTGAAATTTAGACTTTTCAGTCAAGTTTAATTGGATAGGAGGAGTAGAACTGATGATTGAAAAAAGCCAAGACAAACAAAAAAAAGGCCTGCTTATTCCTTACCTTCAAATACTTGATGATTGTTCTTGAGCAGTGTTTGCAGGCCTCCATATTCACTTTTCAGTCTCTTTAAAGTCTCCTTATTTAAATGTTCTGCTACTTCTTTCAAGGAAAGGCTTTCTGCAATAGATGTGGTGTAGCTATAAAAATGTATGTAACTAAATTCCTAGTAAGCCCTAACTTCTGCATAAATTATTGCTTATGAAACAGAACCTAAGAATTACCTGTAAGTACTGCAGCAACTCTGTGCTTTCAACCTCACAAATATAAAATGTATGTTTTCTATGTATGTAGTCTGTAAAATGGCAGTTTTCATTCAACAGTGCTCAAGTCAGAATTTGTGTCCTCCCTTCTTTTTTCCCCTCTTCAGTAACATACAATCTTCACTGTGCCAAGCACTCTTTTTATATGAACATAATAAAAAGAAAAGGACTCTTTTCTATAATAACAATATATAACAAAATACAGCAAGTAAATAATGAAATGGATGCAGGAAAACGGAACTTACTGACTGCTTATAAAATAAACAGCAACTTCTTTTCATTCTAAGGCTAAGACAACTAAAAACTGCTCATTTTGTTGTAAAAAAAAATGGCACATCAAAACACTTCTTAGAGAATTATACCAAGTTATTATCCAAAAATATATTTCAAATCCTTTCCATCTAGATGCAAAGTTATGTTTCTGAACAGCTTTGTTGTTTGTTTTCTTTCTTTTTTTTTTTTTTTTTAAAGTGATTCTGTCCTAGTATGTAAGTATTGAGTAAAAGAAAAACAAAAGAAGTTTCAGAATACACTTACGCACCTTATTTGCGCTCCAGGGTGCAATAAAACACCACAAAAAAACAAAAACAAAAACTTTGCTACAATACTGTTGTAAGGATAGGAAGTAGTAGATATATAGTTCCTTTCAAACAGTTCTGGATCACCCAAGAGAGGCAGCAGTTACAATCCGGTAATACAGGAGGGACAGCTTATCCTTTCTGAGGATCAGTGCTCACTGAGTGTTCCAAAGGAGGTGATCTCCAAGCAGAGATGCTTCCCCTGTAGCTGCCAGCCCTTAAATGAGGTTAAGGAGGGTGGACCCTGGGTCCTTCCAGTCACACAGGTGAATTGCTTCTACCTATGCTTTCAAAGGCTGGCTACATTCTTTCAAGAGGTAATCATTGGCTCAGGTTGTAGCCTAACTGTTCCTACACACTGCTCACAGTATTTCCTAAAGTCTATCTCACTTGCCAAATTTACAACCATAAATTCATCAGAAAATACATCCCCCACCAGCAGAAGCAACAGGCAATGGAGCAATGCTAGAAAGACTATCTCACCTCCTTGATTCCAGGTATTGTTATTTCTACCACGCGTATTAGAACATGATCCTGCAGGGACAGCATTTAACAGCAAGTTTGCCACATTCAGAACAACACCATCTACAAAATCCCGAGGGAGGGCAGCACAATTTCTGGTTTGTTCTATTTTTTCTCTGGGTTGAAATCCAGGCATCCAAATTCCACTAGCAGTCTCCATCACATTTTCAGGGAGTTCTGAGCTTGCTCCTCTGCACACAGAGTGATCGTTATGATTAAACCCATCTTCTTTGTCACGTGCAACCACAGCACAGGTCTGACGATTACAAATAAACTGCTTTATCTTCTCACCCATCAAAGAATGTTCTTTAAGTGGATAGATCCTGTTTTTTCCAATAAGGCACACCTATCTTAGCAGAAACAAACACATCTCTATTTATACTGCAGCATTTATACAGTCTAATTCCTACATCAGAGTATTCAGTCAACAACCAACATATGTTATACAGGCTTCTACACCTAACTGCCAGATATCCATTGGAACTCTATGCTCATTAACATCTGAGGGTTTTTTTTAATTATTTATTTAGTTTTAGCTTTTAAATACTGGTGACACAGAAGAAACCCAGTAGCCAAGCCATAATACATTTTGCCATACAAGCACAGCCCCAAACATTTAAATGATCTGACAGATTATTAAAAAAAAAATAAAGCTGAACACCTCTTTCTGCTTTTCACTTTGAAATTCTTGATAAGAAAACCTACAAAGCTAAGTGCAAGTAACCAATATCGGCAGATGGAAAAATTAAAGCAGAAAGTGGAAGAGTTTTCCATCCTTCAGAGAAGTATATAGTAAATAACCATAAACCATTTCATTCTCTCTTGTATTTCAGATTGTAACCTGTCAGTCCAAAATTACCCTTTTTGTTGATGGAATTCTAAGGCAATCTTCTTCCACATGAAAACCACAGACACGTCCCACTTCAGCAACAAAATCAAGATATTCTCTGTACTGAGTCTTCTTGCTTTGTCTTCGGCTGTATTTTCCATGGAAATCAAAGAAGCAACATGGCAGCACAAAGTACCTACACAAATAGGAAGACCTACAAGAAGGACAGTGAACTGCTAAATGGAAAGTTATTTTCAAGAACACACAAATTTAAGAAATAGCCTATCAGATAAAAGCATCGATGTAAAGTTTTATGAAGTGACAGAGCTTCAAGAAATTATATTTACGTGACACTACTTCAGGATATTTATTGGTAAGTTATTTGCTATAGTAAGTTACTGTGCCAACTTTGCAGGAATAAATCTCTAGGCATCAAACTACTATAGCAGAACAAGGAAATGCGGGATCAACAGCAATTAATTTATTTTTAAACAAACTTCACATCTAAGAAATAAATACAAAATTCATTTTGAAATTTGAAAGCAGTATGCTACATTGAATTCTATGATAAAATAAATACAACTTCCATGTTTCTCCACAGGAAAACAGAAACATTTTGTAAAAAACAATCAATTGCCATCATAAGAAGCAAATCTTGCAAGAACAACTCGTGGGGTTACAAAAGAAGCAGTCTTCACCAAGCATGCACAGCAAATAATATTTCTATTAAATTCCACCCCTCCTGCTCCCCCAGGACCACCAAATACCTGGCAGCAATTACAGGTATCCATGGTGTTAATTCATCTGAATGGTTTCCTATCAGCCAGTCAGTATCTGGAAAGAGATGACTGTCACCTGGCACGATAGAAGATTCCTTTTTTTTTTTAAAAAAAAAAAAAAAAAAAAAAAAACAACCAGAAATTTATTAAAAGTTTAATTCTATTTGTTAATAAAGCACTAAGCAACCATGTAAAATCCTAAAAGCAGAAAAACACAGGTGGAATGAGAACCACAGAAGAGAACAGTATTTTCTACAATTTGTACTTTTGCCAGCCACTAATTTTTTAGAGCTACAAAAGATGGATCTGGCAACAATAATCCACAAAATACTAGTCAAAGAGCAGAATAATAAGTCTGATGAAGAAAACTAGCATCTTAAATATATGTAGGCAAATAAGCATCACTTATGATTTCTTGCTACTTGTCACATTCATTTCTGCTACATGTATTTTCAGAGTCCTACTCCCTTTGCTATGTCTTACAGACCTAGGTCATTAATTAATCATAGCTTCCCTACTATCTTCTCCTATTTCAAAGGCATTTCCTAAATTAAATCTCACTACACAGAATACCACGCTTCATGAATAATAGAACTAATCCAGCCTAACACCTCTTGTGTATATGTTGCCAGTGCATTCTTGTCCACGCTGTGTTAGAACTGCCTTATGATACATATGATATCAGGAGCAAATATAGGAATCAATATGTTAGGAAAGAAAGTTTCACTGGTGACCTTTACAGTAGCATTCTACTTGTGAGAATTCAGTGTATAGAACCAAGGAGACACCACCTCTTGACACCAAATTATTGACACAAAGAATAGCTGCTAGTATCAAAAAATACCCTATTCTGCTATTCTTTAAAATTTAAAAACAAAAAAATCCTCACAACCACAAAACTCACCAAACACAGGACAAGTCCCTCAGTTCAAATTTGAGAAGCTCCGAAGTGCCTTTAGCATCTTAGCTTTAGCCTTTAGCATCTTAGTCACTCACAGGAATTCAAAAAAGTTAACAGGGAATTGCAGAAGTATCAGTCAATTTCTATTCCATTCTTATTCTACTCATCAGAAAGCACTGGTTTGGGTGTTGTTAAGTATCAAAATGGTGCATTGTTGTATACATTAAGCACCAACTCTATCATTTTTTATTTATGCATATAGACGTCCAGATAATATACATAACACATTTCTTTCCAGCAAATTGGTACACATTAAAACAAGTGTTTGACTAAGCATGATAAACACTTGTTTGACAAGTCACTCCTACATTATGTTTCAGTTTTGAATATTCGATTTAGACATAGCATCAATGTTGTACTCTGCATTTTGACAGTGACCCATAATTAAATTTATATTCAACATATCTCACAGAAATTTGGCAATACAGAGTGACACTTGTTACGTTCCTTTATATTGTTAGTATTGGCACTGATTGCCAGGGATGGCAATACCTGAGGGCTGGAGCATCTTTCCTATGAAGAAAGGTTGAAGGAACTGGGCTAGTTTAGCTTGGAGAAGAGAAGGGAGACCTCATTGTGGCCTTCCAGTACTTGAAGGAAGCATATAAACAGAAGGGGGACCAGCTGTTTATGAGAGTGGATAGTGATAGGACAAGGGGGAATGGTTTTATACTGAGGACAGAGGAGGTTTAGGTTAGACATTAGGAGGAACTTTTTCACACAGAGGGTGGTGACGCACTGGAACAGGTTGCCCAAGGAGGTTGTGGATGCCCCATCCCTGGAGGCATTCATGACCAGGCTGGATGTGGCTCTGGGCAGCCTGGTTTGGTGGTTGGTGACCCTGCACATAGCAGGGGGGTTGAAACTGGATGATCATTGTGGTCCTTTTCAACTCAGGCCATTCTATGATTCTATGATCTATTCTGCAACTCGTGTTTTAAATTAAAATCAAAACAATATCAACTTCTGATGGTAAAAGTCTGTGAGCAGGTTCTTTCTCCTTCTGTGGGTACTGTGGCTGGAGAAGCAATACAAAATCATCATTCCTGCTTATTAGGCCACTCCCTCCCACATAAGTTAGTAGTTTCTTCCATCTACATTCTGAATATTTTTGTTTCTATATGGCTTTTTAAAGTGTTCTGTACAAATTCCATTTTTCTCCCTTACACAAGACAAATAAGACCCACCCTCTTCATGCTGCAGAGCGATAACTGTTGCTCAAGAGTTTTTCATGTGCCAGGAAATCTGAGAAATTGTAAATAGTCAAATCCTAATATAAAATGAGTGTACAAAATTCAAAGATTTCCACAATTCAAAAAAAGGGGCAGAAAAAGTATATATAAAACAAAGAAAAAGAGAAGACACTGTTCAGTACGATCAAAAGTAACTTAATATAGCATAAAAGGAATGAAGGAGCACTACAGCTCCATGTTTTGGCTTGCTTCTTGAAGCTGTTTGTAAGATCTAATTGTAGACTGTAAGAAAGGAATCTGGCAGTTTTGGTAACCTATACCTAAAATGACAGTGACAAAGAGAAGACTCCAACGAAATGAATGTGACAGTTCCACTTCCAAAGCAAGAAAGCCGCTGCTCCTTCTGTTGATCTGAACTAAGTTGTCAGAATTTGAAAACTTGTTGAATGAACTTTTAAGCAAAACTACTAGAGAATAGCTACAGGTTGTATTTTTATATAGGAAGCTCACAATCTTTGACAGAATTAGATGAGAAACTCTGGAAATTCAGAGAACAAGAAGCTAGGAACATCTCATTTCCAAAGGACAACTGTTCACCACATTAACAAGAATTAAACCAAAATCAGACAGAGCTCAAACAAGTGATGCTGTGCTCAAATTGTTCCTGTCCTCATAAAAAAAAAAAAAAGGATGAGGAACTTCAAATACAATCCCTCTTTCAAACTGATTTTACTTTCCAGTTTTTTGAAGATCGTGATTGCAATGAATTACCACAAGGCCAGTACAGAAGATAGTCACAGAATCATGAGTTGGAAGAAACCTTTAAAGGTCATCTAGTCCAACTCCCCTGCAATGAACAGGGACACCTACAGCACTACTGGGTGCTCAGAGCCCTGTCCAGCTTGACCTTGAATGTCTTCAAGGACAGCACATCCACTACCTCTCCAGGCAACCTGTGCCAATGCCTTACCATCCTTATAAGGAGAAAGTTTTTTTTTTTTTTACAATATCCAACCTAAGTCCAGTTGAAACTATTTCTTCTTGTCCTGTCGCAATAGACTCCGCTAAAGAGCCTGTCCCCTTTTTCTTATAGCCTCCCTTTACACACCAGAAGTCTGCTCTCAGATTTTCCCAGAGCATTCTCTTGTCAGGCAGAATAGCCCCAGCTTTCTCAGCCTGTCCTCCTAGGGAAGGTGTTCCAAACCACCGATCGTTTTTGCAGTCTCTCTCTAGACGTGCTCTAAAAGATCCATATCTCTTCTTTTCTGTTGAGCCTCTTTTGAGGTTCAGCACTTTTGTTCCAAACAGCACAGTGCAGTACAAGATCAGAGTTACACTCCGAGTGATTCTGCTATTAATCCACAACTTTGGATATTAACATATTTTATCAAGTACAGCATTGCAAACAAAGCTGTCTGCAATTGTACTTCCAGTAAAATCAAGGACTGTCTCCTAGTGTTAATGTTTGCACAAATAATAGGAAATCACTCTTTTAAGCTGCAAATAAGCAAACTGCAAATATGCAATAACATGATACAGCATTGCTCTATTAATACTCCCTTATAGCTACCTCTAGAACGTATGGGTGGCACTATACCAAAGTCATATAATGCTTTAGACAATTGTCTACAATCCACTGTGTTTAATTATATTTTTTTTATCAACACATTCTGAAGCAATGAACAAACGAATAAAGTTACATACATTTGTATAATACCTCTAAATGAGTTTCTGGTCCATACATGTCCCATATTTTTCTTCTCCTCACGTCAATTCCTCGACCTAAGTGCTGAAATATTTGACCAACAAAGTATCATTTTTAAGCACCATTTTTAGTAGAAATTCTCAAACAAATCTACATGTTAACACTGACTTCTTCAGTCACACAACAAAATACAGCTTCATTTCAGGCAAAAGTCACTAGTCCACACAGTCCTTGCTGGAAAAACAACCATCTGAACCACTGATTTATTGGAGTCTAAATACACTTTCTCTTGCACAAGCTGATATGAAAAGGAATAACTGGAAATTAAGTTATAAACAAAAAAATCCCTTAAGTAACTGTATTTGAAGTTCAGAATCCTGTGTAGTAGTAATATTTACTGCAAATTAAATACTAATGGGTCTCATGAAATTTTCAGACATAATTTTTGATAGACAGTAATGTATTTGTCAATGAGGTAGAAAAAAAGAAACATCCACAGGGAAATCCAGTATCCAGTATTAGACCAAATTTTTCTGGTCACACAAGAACATAAAAGTTTGTTTAATGAACACTTCCTCTGCAATTTTACTAGGTTTTCCCAGAAGTTCTAAATGAAATTTAGTCAACTGAGTCACTGAGTTCTGTTGAATCGCAGAGAGCTTCTTTGCTGCTTTTGTTTCAAAACATGAACTTCAAGAATCAGAATTTTGCTGCTGCCAAAAAAGCAACACTACCAGAAACAAAGCTCATTGATTAGACCTTTCAATATCAGAAATCTCTGAGCTGCATTTTACGTACAAAAACATTTTCAGGCTTTAATGAGTAGACTTCAGTTTTGATAAAATTCATTTAAAAAATCTGCTCTAAAAGATAATGCAAAAGAGAATCTCTACTTTAAAACTACCCATCTCTTTCTGATAAGTTTACAACATGATTGAATTATACTGCTACTTTTCCTTTTCCTCCAATTTCCTTCATTTTTTCTTGCCTCAGAAAGATAAATAGCTTTCAGGACAACCCACTGCACTAATAAAAACAGCTGATTAATCTAAAGTTTCTAAAGCTTTGCTAAGACTTTTTCTTGGTAACTAGAGAGTAACAAAGCCTTGTTCTAATAACAAGAATTAACTGAATTTTGGCTACTTGCATGCCAGATTAAAGAAAAGCAAAACAAGAATATTGAATTATATTTTTTCATTATTGTAAAATGCACTCTATTTACCCCTTCATTGCTAAGAATATGCACCAGTAGACCATTTCCACATCCCAGATCTACAAATGACTGTTTCTTGGCAAATCCTTTTTCCTTTCTCTCTTCTTCCCAGAGAACCTAAGACAAGAAAAGAAAGCTTTTTTGACTTACACTCTCACATTTCCCTAGCAAAAAGCAGACAATGAATGGAAAATGCTGGGAGACAAAGGAGATGTGACAGAACACAGTTGCTGTACTTGCAGAGAAAGCAACTTGAGGAAGAAAGAAAAGAAAAAAAAAAAAACAACACAAACTCTAGAACTGCTTATGGAGAGAAGGAGATCATATTTTAGAGTATCAAGCTTTTTTTTTTTTTTTTTTTTTTTTAAAGTGCTAAGCAACCTTCACTCACTGCTGAGCATCTGGAAGAAGAAACTGATCAAAGAACACAGAGATAAAATAAGGTGATAAAACAAATGGCCCAAGAGATTGACATTGGGAAGAAAGGGGGAGTAGCTAGCAAACTTCCAACACTGTATCCGCAAGTAATACTACGGAAGAGCTTATATCCACTGTATAAAAGAAAGAACTGATGACAATGCTGAAAATCAAAACCCAAATTCTTTTTATAATGAACTGGCTATAAATTGGTACGTGCAATTTCCCACCAACTTGGTAAGAATTTTTCATTTACTTTGCAAGAGTCAGCTGCCACAAATTCTGAATCCCAGAGCTTTCAGCCCAGTCCTGGTCCCTGCTCTGTAAATAGGAACTTACTCCCATATAATAATGCTATTTTGAACTCGTTATCTTAATAACTGCACGTCTGCCTGCAAGACCTGGAGTAGATCCCTGCTGTGTCTGTCAAAAACTTTTTCCCCTTCAATCATGAATGTGTAGCTTCTTAACACTTCCCTTTTATTTTCCCTATGAGTAACAAAAATTGTCAAGAATATTTACCTAAGGAAATAAATATTTGGTACATTGCTGCTTATTAATATGCCAGTTTAGCTAGGGGAAAAAGTTGCAGAAACACCATAAGATCATCAGGTTGTGTTTATATTTTTAAATGTAACAATCATTGCACTTTTGCACTCCAGGCTGTATGCTTAAATCAGAACAAAAGCAAAAATACCAAAAACAAACAACCACAAGCACACACTCACACCCTTTTATCACACCTCCTCCTTTTTCTTTTTATACCTTCAGGTCAATCGAAAAACTGCAACAACTATAAAATGAAAATACTGATTTTCTTCAGAAAGCTTCTTCTGTTAGAAGACACAAGCTTGTAAATATTAGATGAAACAGGCCAGGAGAACTGATGTTCTTTACTCCAGGGAAGACTCCGGGGAGGCCTTATAGAGCTTTCCAGTACTTAAAGGGATTTACAGGAAAGATGGGGAGGGAATCTTTACCAGGAAGGGCAGTGATAGGACAAGGGATAACAGCTTTAAACTAAAATAGGGTAAATTTAGATTAGGTAACTGGAAAAAGTTATTTACAGTGAGAGTGGTGAGGCACTGGAACAGGTTGTCCAGAGAAGCTGTAGATGCCCCATCCCCAGGTCAGGCTGGATGACGCTTTGAGTAACCCGGTCAAGCAGGAGGTGTCCCTGCCTATGGAACTGGGTTGGGACCAGATGGTCTTCAAGCTCATTTCCAACCCAAACCATCCCGTGATTCTGTGATTATTGAGCAAAACAGCTCCTTACCAGCAAATAAGTGGCAATGGCAACATCTTCATAAACAAACTTCTCAGGATCCGTCACTTCAGGCCATACCTTCAGAGGAAAAGTAAAAATAAAATCACTTTAAATACTTCAAGAAGTGCTCAGTTAAAGAAGATGCATATCCAAAGCTCTTTAACGGGATTCTGCACTTGACAAGTTTTGCATTTTAACCTGATTAAAATATAGACAGAAAACAAATACAAACTGCAAGATTTTGTGATTCACAGAAAACGACTGCATAAAGAAAAGTCTGCTATTGTTCAACCAGTAAAGTTTCCAAGAATTTTAAGGCTCTCAAGTAAACTGCTGTATCTGTTCATTAGAGTACACATCATTTTGCTTATTCTAATTCTGACAGCAAAAATACTAACATTGTTCCTATTAAACACATAAATAAAATTAGTATTCATAAATTTATTTTCAAAACATGTGGGGCATAGAATTACCCTGGCACAACAGAACAGTTCATTCTGTTCTTGACGTTTTACAAGATCACTTACTAATTTCTTCATTTATAGCTAGACTTTTGTCTCTACCAAATTATGCCACATAATATTTAAGATTGTCATCATCATTTTTCGGTGTTTCCAAGATAAAAAACTAAAAACACTGCTCCTCTGACTCAGACATATATATCAATGCACCTACCTTATATAGAGTACTAAATGTTTAGCCTACTTACTACTATTGGTGCTTCCTGACCCTTTGAGGCTTTGAAGGACATACCATATTTATGCTTAATTGTGAAAATCATTTAGTATTTCCATCCACTGATCTGCTGCTAACTCCTTACATGAAGGCAAGCATTATGGTAAATGTCTGACTCCACATGATATTCAGCCCAAATTTGGCTCAGAATTCTGCATTTCCAGTTTAGTTCTTCCAAATACTATGAAAATTATTATTTTTTCCTTTACGTACACAGTAAAAGATGAAAAAACAACGCAACAAACTATACTGCATACAATTCAAGTAAATTACTTTAAAACAAATAGCGACAGACACAGTTTCATAAGACAAGAAACAACAATAAAAAGCAGTGACAAGAAAGAATGTGGTCACCACATTTGTCACCTAACTTACCTTTACCATTTCCTTGTATTTTTCTTTAAGGTCTTGATAAACCTTGCTGTATTTTGCTACAGGAATGAGTGACAGCGTACTTCTGAACTCACTGCATTTTTGCTCCACAGACCACTTAGCCAGTTTGGACAAAAGTACATCTCCAAGCCATGATAGTTTGGGGTATGTTATCCCATCTGAAAACCAATCTTTTGACGATGGAGCTATAATAGACACAGACCTTAAAAAATAAAATAAAAACTTTAATGAAGTGGAGTGTACTTATACATCCCACTACCTCAAATGTAAAAAGATAATAATAAAACTGAAAAATATTTCTTCTACGTTGATTTTAGTATTTTGTGTTTAATAGCATACCATGCACTCAGATCACACCACTAGTCATTTATTAATTACACAAATTATGAAAACCAAATACCCTAGACATCAATATTAAAATACGATGTGATCCTTGCAATAATTCAGGATTTCCTTTCTCTCTCACTTGCAGCACTTACCATTCCTCATCTCTTATGTGTGTAAATTGAATTTGATATATATTGCACTTTTTAATTTGGTATTTTCCTTCGCTGTTTTCCTCCAAAGGCAGAAAGGTTGCAGTTCCATTGCAAACATCTGAAAATATACGTAAATAGCGATATATTATTCCATGGTACTAGCTACAATGTTCAGCACAAAAAATAAATTCATTTCCTTGCTATATTAATTGCAAACTATTGAGGACAACGCTTTACTGCTGCTTTCTCCTACCACAGTAAATCTGGAGTTCTGGGATGCACACTTCAAATTAACAGAAGTGCAACCTCCTACAGAGGCTGAGGATGCTCTGTTCCTCAAAGTGTTCATGGCTGGGTTGGATGGGGCCCTGGGCAGCCTGGTCTAGTATTAAATGTGGAAGTTGGTGGCCCTGCCTGCAGCAGGGGGTTGGAGCTTGATGATTCCTGAGGTCTTTTCCAGCCCAAGCCATTCTATGATTATATGATTGTATGTATCACTCTAACATTAGGCAAACTATCAGAGCAATGTTATCAAGTAATCAGTAATACTATCAGCAATTATTTTGTTTGGGACTGCCTGAGAAGGTCTGCTTTTAGGTAAAGTTAAGTTATGTAACATTTAAAGTTATGTTCACACTACTGATTTTAATGGTATCTCTCACCTGTGGAATAAAGTGCTTTTGCCCAAGGACAGAGTTTCAAAACTTACAGGCTTAGGAAGTGCTGAGATAAGCAGACTAACAGATGGCCATGCCCCTCAGTGTCTCTACCATATTTCAAGAAGCTATTCTGGAACTTCTGTTGCATTTCATTTTCTAACATGACCTATACAATTAACTCCTCCACAAGGAAGAACAGAATGTCTTTTGAAACAACCAATAAAAAAAAAGGAGATGGCAGCAAAACACAAATGGCATCACACGCTACATCTCAATGCTTAATTTATCTTAATTTATTCTCTATTTTGTTCCTAGAGATAACTCTAATGGAAGTTATGCTGTGCCGCACAGCATACAAAATGCATTCATTATTACTTTACACGCTAGTTACAGCAGTGCTTTTAGCTTCTGCTTATCCAAGGGGATTTCTTTAGAATAATGTTTCCTATTCTGAAAACTGCCTGCTATCATCAAAGCACTCTAAAAACTGCAAATCTCCAAAATTAGAATACTAGGTGGGTACAGTAACCAAAACACCCACGGATTCCAAAAGTCCAGACTTCCAACGCTTCAGTTTGCAGCCATTTCTCCTTGTCCTATCGCCACTCAGTGCCGGTGCGGCCCCAACCACAGAACAGAAACGACTGAACGAGTCACCTTGCACCACCAGCTCCTTCACCGGCAGGGCGAGAAGCCCCGCGGGCCGCGCCCGGGGCAGCAGAACCCTCAGCACAGCACGCAGCTCCCGACCTGGCCCGGCCGCAAGGAAAGGCAACAGCTCCCCGCGCAGCTCCCTCCAGAGCCGGCCCAGCTCCACAGCCCCCACCGGCTCCTCGCCGCTCCGGAGATGGGGAGACGTATCTCCATCCTCCAAGAAAAACACCACGCCCTCCGCCTCGATGGCGGCGCCGCACAGCCGCCTGTTGGCCACCTGCGGCTTCTCCAGCCACACGCGCACCGCCGCCCAGAAGCCGCGGGGCAACACCGCCCCGCCGCCCCGCACTGCCGCTGTGCCCAGCAGCACCATGGCCGGCAGGAGGAGGCGGAGCGTCGCAGGCTGCTGCCGTCACTTCCCGAGGCGGAGACGGCGACGAGCGGAGGTAAACGGCGTGTGAGTGCGCTCTTGTAATTAGCTGCCAGTCGGCTGGACTTGTGCGAGGTGTTTAGCGTGGCTCTGCCAAACCTCATCTCTTAATTGGAGAGATGCGGGAGATACTATTAGGTGGGGAAAGGGTTTGGTTGGGTGGTCGCAGCCAGAGAGTCGTGGTCAGTGGCTCTGTGTGTAGGTGGAGGCCGAGCAGTGTCTCCCAGCGGTCCATCTTGGCACCGGTGCTGTTTAACATCTTTAACAGTGACGTGGATGACGCAATTGAACGTTCCCGCAGCATGTTTGCTGATGGTGGTGAGTTGAGTGGTGCAGCTGAGTGGTGCGGTTGACACCATAGAAGGAAGGGAGGCCATCCAGAGGGACCTGGACAGGCTTAAAGAGTGGTCCCGTGTGAACCTAGTGAGATTCAACAAGGCCAAGTGCAATTCCTTGCACCTGGGTCTGGGCAATCCCAAATACAAGTACAGAATGGAAGGAGCAGTCATTGAGAGCAGCCCTGCAGGGAATGATTTAGGGGTTCTGGTGAGTAAAAAGCTGGGCGTGAGCCAGCAGTGTGCTCTTGCAGCCTGGAAGGCCAGTGATATACTGGGCTGAATCAAAAAGGGAGTGTCCAGCAGGGCAGAGAGATTTTCCCTCTACTTTGTTTTTGTGAGGCCTATCTGGAGTACTGCGTCCAGGCCTGGGGTCCCCAGCACAATAAAGATATCAAGCTGTTGGAGTGAGTGCAGAGGAGGTGCACAAAGATGATCAGAGGGCTGGAGCAACTCTCTTCTGAGGAATTTGGGCTTGTTTAGTTTGGAGGAAAGAAGGCTCCAGGGGAGGGCTCTTTCACAGAATCACAGAATGGCCAGGATTGGAAGGGACCTCAAGGATCATGAATCTCCCCATTTAATGCTAGACCAGGCTGCCCAGGGCCCCATCCTATCTGGCCTTGAACACCTCCAGGGACGGGAGGACCTCTCTGCTCAGCCTGTTCCAGCACCTCACCACTCTCTCTGTAAAGAATTTCCCCCTGACATCCAACACAAATCTCCCCCCCCTCAACTGAAAACCATTTCCCCTTGTCCTACAGTTATCAACCCTTTGAAAGAGTTGATTCCCCTCCTGTTTGTAGGCTCCCTTTAGATACTGAAAGGCTGCAATGAGGTCACCCTGTGGCCTTCTTTTCTCCAGGCTGAACAAGCCCAGCTCCCTCGGCTTGTCTTCATAGGGGAGGTGCTCCAGTCCCCTGATCATCTTCATTGCCTCCCTGTGGACCCTCTCCAACAGCTCCCCATCTTTTCTGTACTGGGGGCTCCAGACCTGGATGCAGTATTCTAGATGGGGCCTCAGAAGAGCAGAGTAGAGGGGAACAATCACCTCCCTGTCCCTGCTGGCCACCCCTCTTCTGATGGAAGAAGGCTCTTTCCTGCCTTCCAGTAACTGAAGGGAACTTGCAAGCAGGTCTGGGACCAGCTTTTTGCACAGTCTGATAGTGACAGGACAAAGGGGAATAGCATTAAACTAGAAGAGGGAAGATTCACAGAGTCATAGAATCACCGACATTGGAAAAGACCTTCAAGATCATCCCATCCAACCATCCACCTACCACCAATATTTCCCACTAAAACGTGTCCCTTTGTACAACATCCAAATATTTCATGAACATTTCCAGGGACCAGTGACTCCTCCACCTCCTTGGGCAGCCCATTCCTGCACCTGACCACTCTCTTGGGGAGAGTATTTCCTAAAGTCCAACCTAAATCTCTCTGGTGCAACTTGAGGCCATTCCCTCTAGTACTATTGCTAGTTCCATGGGAGAAGAGGCCAATCCCCATTTTGCCACCACCTCCTTTCAGGGAGTTGTAGAGAGCAATAGGGTCTCCCCAGAGGCTCCTCCAGACTGAACAATCCCAGTTCCCTCAGCTGCTCTTCGTAAGACTTGTGCTCCAGACCCCTCACAGCTCTGTTGTCCTTCTCTGAACACATTCCAGGGCATCAATGTCTTTCTTGTAGTGAGGAGCCCAAAACACACAGTACTTGGCCTTATCAGAGCTGAGTAGAGAGGACGATCATTTTTCCTGCTCCTGCTGGCAGCACTATTTCTTGTACAAGCCAGGATGCCATTGGCCTTCTTGGTAACCTGGGCAAGGTTAGATGGTTTGATGTTACAAAGAAATTCTTTACTCAGGGTGGTAAAAGCACTGGCACAGGCTGAGAAGCTGTGAGAAGCTCCATCCTGGAGGTGCTCATGGACAGGTTAGATGGGAGTCCTGGGCAACCTGATCTGATGGCTAGTAGCTCTACCATGGCACTGGGTTTGCAACTGGACAATGTTTTAGTCCCTTCCAGCCTGAATGACTGTATGATTCTGTGATAATGTCCAACTTATGCTGACTGCAATACCTCAGTATAGAAATGCCTTTCTGACCCCTTCTGTTTGAGGAAGCACATCTCAGCACACTTTGGTATTAAAAAGTACCACCTCCTGCAATCATTATTTTGCACTTCAACCAAAAAAATCAAGTTACCTGAATTTTGGCAGTTCAAATAGAGATTCTACAACTGAAACTCTGAAGAGGGTTATCTAGTCTTAAGCTTGATTTACTAACAAATTACTAACTTCCAGATAAAAAAGCTTTTTAACTCAGCATTTTTTGTGTGAAATTATAGCAATTTTCAGTGAGTTCTAAATAATCCATATTGTTATTTTCTGCCATGTCCTTAGGCTGATTTCAAAACGTCAGCAGAACTCAGTTCCATGGGGCTGAAAGCAGCATGGAAGTGATTCTCTGGGGCCATCTTCAGCTGTATTTCTTATTGTAATTGCCAGTTTTGATTTACTAATTAATTTTAAGGTTGCGTGCTTAGATCTAACTTGTATCAAAACATAGTGGGGAGGTAGAGAAAAATTTAAATTTTTTTTTGCAGTGCAGGACTCTTTTCATGAAAGCACAGGTTTTAGCATTTCAGTAATCTCACTGATCTGCAATGTAAGTAAAGTCTGACACCTTTAAATAAAATTGCAGTGTTCTGATGCCAGATTTTCTCTGTTCTGAGCTAGAAGCCTTGAACTTCTGCCTGATTTAATGCTTTCCAGTTCACTTCTGTTTGCTGGTAGGAGGTGAATGTCTGTTTGGCTGAAATGCTCTTTCCCAGTGCCTGAAGTTTGGTGTTGTTTTTTTTTGTTTGGGTTTTGTTTGTTCCAGCTTGTAACGCAATGGAAAGTACAGTGATAGTAGCAGGGTGGCCCAGTCCTTAAATGAGGTCTGGGAAGAGGTGAATCTGGTCTCCATCCATTCTGGTAACTTAGATGCATTGCATGCAGCTGAGCTTCCTGGGTTGACCCTGCCTTCCCATCAGGTACTCAATCACTGATTCAAGCTGTGACTTAGCATATCCACTACACATCTCATCACTGGAACTGCACCTGGAACCCATCTAGAAGTTGCACATGGAAATATTGTCCTGCAGTCCTCCTCTGCTGCATTTTTATTCTGTTCTTAGTAGGTTGAATGAAGCCAAATGAATGAAAGAGGAGTATCAAGATGATGAAGAAAAGGAATGACAGAAAAAAGTAGAATGCCAAATTAGCTGTTAAGGATGCTAAGAAGCATCCTTAGGAGGATTTACAGTCTTTGTACAGATTTTAGATAGTGGGAAAAATTCTATTGTATTTCCCGAAAGCATGAGAAATTTAGCTTATATTGCAAAATAGGTCACATTGCCAAGCTGAAAAAGAAAGAAAACACCACACCAAAAAAAAGCCTTAATATCAAAAGATTATTTTTTTGAGAACTTTGCAGATGTGCGAGAGTAGATGATTATGACAGTTCCTGAATAAATATCTTGTGGGTTTGGGAAGTCTGCTTTCATACTTACTTACTTCACTCAGTTGAAGGAAATGGAAATATATTATCTTCCCTGGATCACCCCTTTATTAATACAGAATATTAACCAGTGCTGTTCCTGCTTTATATTGTTTTAAATTATATTTAAAAGGTTTAGATCACATTTTAATAACAAAGACTATGTAATTTATCTACATTTGATCAAAGGCATTTTTTCCTTAGTTTATGCAAAGCCAACTGGATTAGAAAAATGGACAGCCAAGCTTTTTGTTGGCTCTGCACTGCTTTACTCACACTTACACCACAGAACAAGTCTGTGGGTTTAATTAACAACCCTTCTGATTTCTTAATCTGCAGTACTTCAGTGCATAAAGTAAATTTTCTTTGTTGCAGTTTGACTAACAATGGCACCCATACTGAATGTGAAAGAAGCCACTGGCAATCAAAGTTCCTGGAATACTTTGCTACCAGATTTCCCTAAGGGGCCTCTCTCCAAATATAGAAAGAAAGCTTCCTTCAACTGGAAAGAGATGACAGTGTTCCTTGATGGTGAAGATATCATCCGGCTTAAGGTAAGCAAGCAAGACAGTAAGCATTTTTAATTTTGGACTTATAGAAGCAAATACATGATTCTCAAACACAGAGTATTTAATAATAGTCTTTAGATATGGAGCATGAAGAAATTATTTTTGCACATCTGTTTTTCAGAACAGAACTGAATTTTTAAGCAAACTACATTGCTATCTAATAAGGCATGACCAGATGCAGCATTACAGGACTTCCTTACTCTTTTCGAGCTGAGAGGAATCTGTATCTATCATATTTCCTCATGAGAGGCGTTAAATCATATAGCTCCTGGTTTTTACTTAATTACAATTAAAATTTTACAATTTACTTAAGTTCATCTGAGTACATCCTACTACCAAACGTTATTTCTGGCATTCTTTGACCTGAACATAAGTTCCTACTGTCTTTGTGTTTGCAATAATGCTTATGTGGTGTGCGTTGGATAGTTTTGCTTGCCTAACTGAATGAAAGCTATCCCTACTAAAGAAAAGATTAATTGCAACACAAAAAATGGTGTGGGAA